TGGTTTGTCTCTTTCTGGATAGCAAAGATCTTAACGATATCCCGTTTCTCTGAAGATCATATGTGTGGAACATTGCAATAGTTTGTCTAATTAGTTACTGCAGTGATTTCTTCTTCTAATTTAACTTCAGGAAACAAATCGTCCACATTGACGAGTGATTATTGGCTATTTTAGGTGGATTTATTCACAAAAATGGACAATCTATTTGGGTTATGTTGGTGATTCAGGGATTGTAAATGGTATAGGACGCTCAGGAATCTGAAGATGTGTTCATGATTAGTGTTTAAATTTATATCTGGAATAATTTCAAAATTTGGGTGAAATTCATTTGCATATTCACATTCTTTTAACTATAAGACTGTCAAAGTGCAACTAAAATGATAAAAATTGGGTTCATATGGAATTCCATACAGAATTGAAACAATATATTCCAAGTTCTATCAACTTTGATGGAGTTTGGAATATATTATTTTAATTCCACAAAAATTCTTTGCAAATCCACATTCTTTTAACTACAAGACTATCAAAGTGCAACTAAAATGATAAAAATGGGGTTCATACAGAATTCCATACAGAATTGAAGCAATATATTCCAAATTCTATCAACTTTGATGGTGTTTGGAATATATTATTTTAATTCTACATGAATTCTATATATGTGCGTGTGTGTGCTTTTTTTTTTATCCGAGTATATTACAAATTTTCATAATTATATTTAGTGTAGAACTTATTATAAACATAGCGTAAACTTGATCAATAGAAACTTCTATTAAGTTTGTCATAGATTGGGAAGATATTTAATTGGATAAGGTTTAAAGGTACAAACTTTTGTCTTCTACTAAGGCTCTGTGTGCTGTTCTCTTGTACCAGTCACAGCAAATACTATATGCTTTCAGAATGATCATCGGCTGAAGTAACAGTCCAGATGCTTTTGGTTAGATTAAGAGTCAAGATGCTTACTGGGAAATTGTATAGGACTTTGCAAAGATTTGGAGTATCTGTATGTCACGGGGTTTAGTTTGTCTATTGGAATATATAGTTGCAGTGGTGCATGAGAATCTTTGTTGTTTAAAAACTGCACGTTTACCCATTCGTCTTGTGTAGAATTCTGTAATTTCTTAAATCTGTATGAGGATATGCCAACCATGTGAACATACAATGAATGTTGTCATTTAGTTTTTTATATTTGTCTTTGTTGTCTCTATTGCCTAATTTATTTTTCGTTATCTATCACTAACCTTTTTATAGCATTAGATGCATGATTATTTATACCCTCTAATAATGGAGTTATTTTTCTTTTAAAAGGAGAGAAGCACTCTCCTTGTAAAGGACCATGCATCACTCGAGGTATTCTCATGGCTTTATCAGCGACAGGAGGAGGTAAAGGAGGGGGAGTGTTGGAAAGACCAGTGATAGAGAAAACTACTCCTGGCCGAGAATCTGAGTTTGATTTGAGGTATGTGCACAAATGCTTTTCATTTTTACTAATTCCATGTGGTAATATTAACATTTATATCAGTCATGTCAAACTAGTGTATTGCGAACTCACAAATTTATAATCTTCTCAAAATAAATTTATTTTTAATTCTGCAGTCTTTTGATATATATTTGGATTTGTGAATGTCAGTGGTTTGCAACGTATGCTGATTCTGGCTAAGTCTTAATATCACTAGTTCAAAGTAGGTCAAATTTGCATTTTAATCATAAATACTATAGCAATGTTTACAAAGATGTTGATCAGTGGCTAATAAGTGGAAATTTGATATTAATCCTCAATCTACTAGAAGTAGCAAAAAGGAAAAACTTTTACCTTATGATGAGCGTACCACTCCATATTTTTTCATTGTAAATTACACATCATAAAAACTTCTTCAGGAAATCGAGGAAAACTGCTCCACCTTACCGTGTTATTCTGCATAATGACAACTACAATAAAAGGGAATATGTTGTCCAGGTGCTGATGAAAGTCATTCCTGGGATGACACTCGACAATGCTGTCAATATAATGCAAGAAGCACACTACAATGGCTTGTCAGTGGTGATTATCTGTGCTCAGGCTGATGCTGAAGATCACTGCATGCAACTGAGGGGCAATGGACTTCTGAGTTCAATTGAACCCGCTAGTGGCGGGTGCTGAAACTTCAAAAAAAAGAAAAAAAAGAAAAAGAAAAGGTTTTCGAGGATCCTTGTGGCTATCATTGCTAAAAGCTTTCTTCTGAAAAGCGTTAGATGGTGTATATAAATCTGTAGTGCCAATATTTGTATGAGCTACTGTTGTCATCATGTGGTCAGGTAGTAATTTTGAATAAAAAGTAACTTATTGATACTATTGAGTAAAATAGTTGTTCGTTAAAATCTTTTTAATTAAAAATTGATCAGTATTTTGTAAAAATAGTTAGCAAAACTGCCGTCATTTGAGAAAAGTAATGACTGTGTGTTTAATAAAATTAACCTTTCAAGTTAAAATTATTTTTTAAGAGCTAAACGTTTTAATTTTTAACTTTAAGCTTATTAAGAGCATATTTTGGTTGTCGCCAAAAAAAATATATATGTTTTATTTATTTAATTATAAAAGTGCTTTTCTTTAATAGTAAAAGTTGAAGCGAAAGGCCAATGCAAACATTCTTGAAATAGTAGATCTGCCATTTTTATTGGCCTGGAGCTTATTTTGTCTCTGATAATTTTTATTATTATTTTTTTGGAATTGGCAGTTCTACTTTTTATTTAGAACATAAAATACCTCAGCTAAAAACAATTTTATGAAAGAACAATGTAGATTAAGAGATTGTTGGTTATTACCTATTTACTTATTATAAGTAGCTTTAAGCATGTTTTATTCAATCTCTCTCTACCTTTGGTAATATAAAAAGGGTGATTTTAAGAAAGAAAAAAATTTATCTAACAAAATTTATTTAAAATATGATTTTAATACTCATTCAAAATGGCTAAAATACCAAAATATCTTTCAAATTATTTAAAAATGCATAAAATAAAATTCCTTCAAAGTATTTTTTTTTTTTTTTTCTAATCAAAATTTCCATGAACTTTTAAGAAGCAGACAAAATTTCTCTTTTCTCTTAACATTATTTAACGTACTGATGTAATAATTGATGTGTCGAGTCACGTATGCATTAGTTTTAAATTTGCTAATATGACGTTCTTATTGATATACGCATAGACCTCAAGTCAGCATCATGTACCCAAGCTCCCGTCGCCTCCTCGTGGACTCTGCAAGCGTCATGCAACATAAAGTGAGATCTCTCCCTAAATAACCTCACGCAGTGAGCTAATCACCCCCTCAGTCCCTACACAATCAGATTTCTATGCGTCAACAACCCATAATATTAACAATCATACTTGGGTGGCGAGCCGAACACGTGAATATTTACGTTATTAGACAATTTTGTTAAGGTCTTGATGGTGTTTGTTAATTTTGCATTTGGTGTTGCCGCCACCAGATGCGGAGGCATGAAGAAGCAATTTACCGCTAGTGTTGGCGTTGAGGGGAGCAAGGAGTGCACAGTAATGACAACCGCATATAGGTGCGGCCCTGACTCCGATCGAGAAGCATCTTGTTTCTGACAATGGTGATGGGCTTGTAAAAGAGGTCTTGCAGGGCCCACTATCGCTGGTAATTGGGTCGACTACAGATATGGAGTGGTTGTCCAATGATGGTGAAGGTGCTGAGGTCTACCCTGTAGGTGATCATGGGGATGCAGGGCCCACCATCAAAAGGGGTTCGACGTAGGGAGATAAAAATGGTTTAAATCGAAAATTTGGACATTATTTCTCGCTCTGTCGACAAATTCAAAACTGATATATACGTGGCTTGACATGTCGTCTGCTACAGTAACTCATCTAAACAATATTATAAAAAATTGATGGAGATTGGAAATTGTGTATACTCTGTAAAAGTTGGGGAAAATTTTTGAATAAAAAAAGTCAAAATATTTTATTTCATCCGTAATTTCTATAAAATATTTAAACTACACTCTGATTTTTTTTTATTTAAATTAACTCTTAATTTTTAAAAATATGCAAATCACTCTCTTATAATTAAAAAAAAAAAATTAATGTCGTTAAACATCAGCATATTCATCAGCTATAATCTATATGGACACAATGTATATGACATGTGGATGCCGCGTAGTTGACGCATGGCCCCCATACTCAGACCCTCTCTCCTTCTCCTCCATCCACCTTAAATGGTATCACCAGCAAATCGTAAACGCTCACAGCAATGATGTAACAGCACCAAACACACTAGTTGCGATTATAATGGCAAGATGCATCTTGCTCAACCCACCATATTTGGACCCTAAAAGTTGTTCACAAAGCCCGTTATTCCTAGCAAAATCTGCAGAATAAAAATCCTTAAAGAAGGGTGGGTGGGTGGGTGTTCATAAGATCATCATCAACCACATAAAACTTCTTCAGCCTACCTAGATTGGGCAACTAAAATGGGACAGACCCAAGCAAATGATTTATAGACAAAATTAAGTTGTTCAAGAAAGAACATTTTGCTAGATCAGCTGAAATATTATCCAACAAACGGTTGTTGGACAAATCAAACATATATGAGCACAAATCGTATTAGATATGACGTTGGCAGAGATATCCAATGTGTGCATACTCTGATACTCTATTTCTCAAAGCTACAAACTAAATGTGATGTATATGATTCAATTGGAGGAGTACAGGGTGATGGAAGAAGAAAGAAGACAAAGCAAGAAATAATTATTAGCCTAATTTATTAATTAGCCAAAATACGTTTCCTATGGCATGGTGATGGATGAAGGTAGGGCACGAAGGAGGTAGGGTACGAAGCAAATTCCTGTGTCGGGGGTGGGATCATCGTAGAAGGCATGACACGGCATTACAAATGTATTTTTTTAGTTGGTCCATAGACAATGTGTTGATGATACGGCATCCATGTGCTATTTATTTAAATATGTTAGCAGACATTAATGGTTACTGTTAATGTACAAACTAAGCACATCCCTCAATTGATCAGTAGGAAACTTAAAGGAAAAAAAATGATCAGTCGGACCAAGCCTGCAACTACAAAAGTGACCTCATGCGCCACCATGGTCATGACGGCGGCAAGGTCAGATCCCTAAATTGGGCGGATCAAGATTTCTCTTCCTGGCGTAAGTACCACGAATGCAACACAAAATTTTTACATGTGGAGATCCAGGACGGCAATTTATGATACTTGAAGAGATCCAGATCGATAATACAATACAACAACAAAATTCCTAAAGTGTAATAGTCCTTTCCCTCCTAGGAAATTATGACGTTTCAAGGTTAGTGTTGAATTTCCAACAAAAACAAAAAAAAGTAAGTTATAGATAGCCAAACTTGATCATCATAAATTATAGATTACTTATATATTAGAATTAATATAAAAATTTTATAAAAAAAATTAAAAATCTAATTAGAATTGGGTAGAAATTAAACTGCTTGCAAAAGGGACAGTGCCCATGCACCACTAAATTCCATCAAGAAGCTGATAAAAGTAAGCTGCAAAATCTTAAAGCACTTCAATTCATCTCCACCACCATCACCAAACTCAATCACAATCCATAACTGTAAGAATGATAACTTTTTGAAATAAAATAATTGTAAGAATGATAATGAAACATCATCCGGGTAGAAACTATTTCCAGCCCTGTAATTTGAGCTTCATGAATAATCATGCTTATACACATCTCTTCTTTTTTTTTTTTTTTCTTTTTTGTCCCAGTTGAACTTCCAGTTTTCATCTGCAGAAATTGCAAGTGGTAACGAAAGGTAATAGACTACGTTTGAGTTGAAAGTTCCAGAAAATTGGATGCCTATGAAATTTTTTAAATAGTATAAGCAAGAGGTAGTTTATAGTTATCAAAGACAACTGATATGAAAGAGCCTTCATCATGTGAAGCATATCTTAGCTCTTCTCGTGTTGTTTGTCTCTGATAGGGTCTTTGCTCCTGAAATAATCATTAGAACGCCTAACTTGGCGAAAAATTTATAACTTTGGATGTCAAAATAATTAGGTTGCCAACCAGCTTCCGAACCCTGAAGCAAGCTGTAGAAACAAGAAGGAACTACTATTAGAAAATTAGCACAGTAGCTCACTATCTAGTCACCTGTGGAAGCACTCTAGTGCCTGTTGGTGCATGTGAAAGATTAAGGTGAAGATTTCTGCAGTAAATCATTTGGCCCAGATAACCAAACACTCTCACTACTCTAATGGATCCTCATAGAAGATAGTGGTATTAACAAATTGACAATAGGTACTAACCATAAGCAATAATTTGATCATCACGAGTCAACTGTTGAAAGGAAAGATTGGATCCCAAAAACAATGAAAAGTATTCCACCTGACAGTGCAACCTGCATTAAACAATTACAGAAATTACAAACCACTTGATATAATGACGCCTTTCAGTAATATGCCACAAAGAAAAGTCCAAGTGTCCATCAGTACTATTTTTTCAGATATCCGAGATGCCAAGCTCTTTCCTCCAAGGACAGCAGCAGTTGTGCACAATGCTTGTGCTCTGAAGAAAGGCACAAAGTAGGATGCAAAAAGGTTAGGAGCCTGATTAGACCAGAAGGAAATAAATTGTGCATGGATTAAATGGAAAGATCTATAGGAACTTACACAACACCACCAATAACTACACCAAATGGATTCTCATCAGCAGCCAAACCGATGGTCGCAAGCTGCAAGAAAGTAAGCTTGGATAATGATGGTAAAGAGGCAAAAGTGAATACAGATGCACCTGGATATAAATAGTTTCGTGCAGACCTGGCTCTTGTCACCCCATTCACCAAAAAAGGTAATAGAAAATGCCTGCAGAATGAGAAAGGCGAGACAAATTTGGTTAAATCAGCCTTTGGTTCTGGTGTTATAGATCGAATAGTTCAGAGAGAAACATATCACCTTCAAAAAGATTGGCGAGAAAAACTGTGAGAAAAACTGCCGTTTCTGCTTTTTCAAGTCATCATCATCCTGAGAACAAAAATAAGTAAATTATATGGGCGGTCATCCAAATAGATGCTATCTCTTCATATTACACTTTTTAGCTTTATCGTCTGACTTTAAAAAGTTTTAAGAGTGTATTTGAGATTGTTTATTAGTGCTTATAAGTAACTTTAAAGACTGTTTTAATTTTCATAAGTAGAGTGCTTCTAGATACATAAAAGTTATTTTAAGCAAAAAGAAAAAAGCTTTTTAAAATGTTTGAAACTGCTTATCTTTTACTTAATTAATTTACTTCTTTGTAACTCATAGATAATTGCTTAATTTTTTAAACAGAAGCACTCGACCATTTTAAATACCTTAAGACACATTTCTAAGCAATCCTAAATATCCTCTTAGTTTAATTAGTGTTTCATCACCAAGTGTACAATATTGTTAGTTTTTTGTTCTGAGAGTCCCGCTACCAACCGCAAGAACATACACAAGTACACACCCACACATTAACTACAAGACCACAAGAGTTGACTGATCAATATGTGTCTCTGCTTGATGCTTACATTATTCATCAATTTTTATTAAATTGTTTTAGTCTCTTTACCCAGTCAGCACCTGGTGTAAATTAAACTGTTAATTTCACACCAGAGTCCAACTATCACCTACATGAAAAACTAACAGGTAAACACTGCCCACCCACACACCAACTAATTGCCATGGCCAGTGGAGAAGCTGTTCATAACCAGCCACTTGCACTAGACATGCAAACAAAACCCACAAGATTTGACCAATCAATGTGTATGTGGGAAACACGATAATGCCTGTCAATGTTTACCACAGAGGTAATAGTTAGAACTCTACCATGAAATTAATCTACACTTAATGATGAGAGAGTAATAACATTGAAACAATCTAATAAGTTAGGAGACCAAAGAAAACTTTCTAAAAGCTGGTGATGAAATTGAAAAATGTAGTTGGCGACTCCAACTTGAGAAATTGTCATTGCAATACCTTATTACTCTGTTTTGCTGTTCCTCCATTAGCCTTCCAATCAGCATCCTGATTGTATAATGAATGTGAAGTTAGAAGGCATATAGGATGAACATCGAGTACAAGTTATGATAAGCGGAAAACCAACCAATTTTGCTTCAACTTCAGCCAATTCTTCAGCCTCCCTGTTTTGCTAATACATTATCAGATTCCAATACAAGCAGAGTCTATGTTCATTTAAGAATTTAGCCCATGCACAATAAAATAGCAAATAAAAAATGATCGTGAGAAACCGATTACCCTCCATCTCTGAATGCATCCCATAAAGACCATAGCCCAAAACTAAAGAACAACAATGTTGTTATGTGATGGGTCCATTTACGAGAGATCTGCAAAAAGTCACAAGACATGTTGTAACCCAAAAAATACGAGTCTCTTATGGGAAAATTGAAATAAAGACACTTTTGACAATGTGGCACATGACAAACCAACAAAACTAATCAATGACAAAAGTTTGCAAGGATAGTGTGTTCTAGAAATGAAATCATGATTGAAATACAAACATATTTATGTTGAAAGTAAAATCTTGACGTGAAGAATGTGATGCTAGAAGTTAAATAAAGTTGGATTTCAATGATTGTTTAAGGACAAAATTATATTTAGCTCAACCTTGCGTTACCAAGTTCTACGAGTTGAAGTATGACCAAGCTGCATTTGATTTTGAGATGCCAAGCTGAAGCTCAAGTAGAATTAACTTGATAAGGTTATCTAGTTCTCTCAAACTAGTTTAAGTTCAAACACAGAGCTCTTTGAACTGTCTACGTCAAAGAATTACTTAATATATTATGCATACAAAAATGAAGGCTTGTGCTGTCATGAGCTGAGCTCTTGAATAATAAACCTTGAGCCCGAAAATAGTCAACTGTAAAGTTGAGCCTGATATAAGAAAGTTCATAATTGATGTGAACCCAGCCAAGTTTTTTATTGAGATTATCAGAATAGCTCAGCATATATTGATCATCCACATCCCACAAAATCTATAATTCCCAACTGAAAGTTTTTAATAATGATTATTCATTTTAGGTTAACAATTGCCAATCAATGTGTCACTTGAAGTTATACTGAGATAAGACTTTTCTTTATTTAACGTTTTGGAGTGAAGTTTTCAGAAAATATTATTACTTACCTAATCAAATTATATAATTCTGAAAGAACTACCCATAAAATGGCACATTCATATTGAAATTGATTTGCATTCCCAAATACATTTTAAGTAAAAATATCCTATGGTATGAATGGACTGAATGCTGATTAATATTGTCACTGACATGCGTCCTATCAGATAGAATCCTGTTCAAGGATCTACTAACAATCCAAATCCAAAAGTTTTCCCAGATGAAAAATAGATTGCTTACCAAATTTGGAGCAGCCCAACCAACAAGGGCGGAAAGAATAGTCATCACCTAATAATCAACAGAACTTAAGGTTTGATGAATTTACAGGAAGGAAAGCTTTAAACTACTATTATACATATAAAACACTCACAATTAGAGCTCCCAGGCAACCAGATAACACAAGTCTCCTTGGATGACGCATGGCCAAGATCTATGAAAAAGCAACTCTGATATCAGTAAAATTGTAAATCACTCAGTTTAAGGGGGGAAAAAAATTATCTTTCGACTTACACATGCATATAGAAAGAAGAATTAATCTAAGTGAGAGTGATATTATCAAACACTCTTGTAAAAGAGATATTATCATCTCCTATGGTAACCAAGAAGATGACTTGAACAAATTGGAAAGAAGCAAGGAGACAGAAGGGAATCCTCAGTGAGGAAAACAGTCAAGTAAATCGAAACCAAAACGGCATAAATTGCTTTAAAATGATAGATGTATTTGTGACTAACTGTTCGTGACTAACTGAAAGTCTTCAATGCTGTACATCTCTTCTCGAAAAAAGAATAAAAATTTCTTGTATTTGAATTTCAATTTGTGTTTCGCTGATGATAGAAGAAAATCAACTTTCAATATAACAGCAGTTATGGGTATATGTAAGCCCCAAAGCAGAAGTTAGTATATAAGTAATCTATCTAATGGTGGTTCATCTGTATGTTATACTACAGAGAATTGCCCATAACTTTTCGTGCAAGTACCAGCTCTAACCTCCTCTAACACAATCAGACAAGCATACAAAAATTTCATCAAGCCTGCTTATTATATTTTTTCCCTCAGACAACACAACACAACACAAATATCTGTTGCTCCGTCATATCCTGTGTATTCACCCTCAATTAAGCCATCGCAATACTTAATAATCTCTTAGTTCTTTTTTCATTTTAGTCGAGGTTACTGAAAATCAAACTTACTATTATCGTTACTATATCTATATTTGATCCAAGGAGAATTTTATTATTAAATTTCTTAAACTCTCTACAGTATCAAATTAGATTTACAAATACAACTCGGTAATTTAACTTTTCTGTATATCTATTGCTCATGGTTCCACAGATTTTATCAGCAAACCTTTACAAAGTAATTCGTTTTTTGAAAATCAAGCTCAATATTTAATCTTTCCATTTGTTTTATATTAGAGGAGGTTAACACTTCGAGAATATTGTCAAGAAAAGAAACAGATACTTGCACTAAACTTTAAAGCGCTAAAGTGGGCATAGAGTTTACCAGCCAGGTTGCTTCTGGGGAAAATACTAACCAAAAAATATGTATAAATCAGATAAGAAAACATCAAACATGAAACTCGTGAAGAAATATTAAACAATGAACTGATTGTTGATATCGACATAAAAGGACCCCACAGAATCCAAAAATCCATCAGATCATGAAAGACTAGCTAGCTACGTAGTGCAAATTGCAGTTTCCATAGATTTTTGGCTGCAGCTTCGTCAAGGAGTATGGTTTTTTCACCTCAGAAGAGAAAATTCTTAGGATTCAAATGGTACTAACTAGCTATTTGATAAGTCAACTGACCTCTCAGTTATTCATACCAATCAACCATAAGATAGGTGTTTGCCGAATGTTTGCATAGTGCATGCAATAATTTCGATCATGAGGTTTTTTTTTCGCTCAGTTCCTTTCAAGTACCAATATTTCAAATCAATTTGGTTTTCAAAATAATTTCTCTAAATAATCCACCGTGATGACGTGAACGTAGCAATTTTTTTTTTCTCTTTTCCTTTCTAGGATCGATGATTTGCGAAGTTAAATCCGTATAGCTTTCATACAAATAATTTAACATAAGTTATCAATTCTCTCAAATTCGATATAAAAAATAAAGTCGAACTGAAATAGGAAGAACACAATCAGGGAAAAAACATAACCGCTGCAGCAAAAAAAGTCTTGTCGCCAATCTCGGATAGCACGGTCATGGCAAGTGACTTGGTAAAGCCCTTAATCAACAAAAAAAAAATGGATCAATCAGCAATAACAAAATCGAAATTAAGATAAAATAAACGGTGTTCTAAGTTAGAAAAACCAAGCCGATTTATCAGTCAATTAATTACCTGTACAAGGGAGCTCATTTTTCCTCAGTAGACGATAACGGGACGTGCTGAAGAGAAACCCTAGATTCTGGCAGAGAACTGAGAGAGAAAATAATGTCAGAGAAATTGACAATCTCGGATTTTTACTCGTTCTCTTGCCAGGTCTCTCTCCAAAAGAGAAGCGAGGCTGAGAGGTCACCTAACTCGGGGGCCGCGGCTCAAGTTTTAGGACCGGAAGAAAACAAATAAAATAAGAATAAAAGAGTGCTGGCTACGGCAGGGAGCGTGGGGTACAGTTCCCATGAATCAAGACAATGGAAGATCCCGAATCAAAAGAGGGGTTATCCGGATTCTTACTGGACGCAGGGACCTCTGGAGCTAGAGATTAAGAGTAACAGAACGCGAGCAAGGAGCGCGTGATATCCACTCTTTCGAGTGGTCCATTGATCTTGCTTTTACGAAAATGATGCACCAAAATGGAATATTTAAGAATATGATTTAATTCCACTTTTAATGAATATTATGTTGCTTTAAGAAGATTCACAGAGATATTATTACAAGTAAGTAACTCATTATTTTATAGTATAAATAAGATGCTCTCTCTAATCCAAATTTAATCAGATAAAGTGATAATTTATATATATATGTGTGTGTATGTATGTATGTATACACTCTCCAGTTCTGCTGTCAATTATATTTAGGAATTTTTGAAACAGGTGAATAATTTTTTGTGTAAATTAATCCGGTTTGATTTTCTTAAAATATAAGCTCAGGTAATTAAATTAAATCTTTTTTAAAAGTGTCATAGTTTAATTTTAAATTTCATTATATTTTGTTTGAAGTTAATTATTAATTTACATAATAAAATTCTTTTAGAAAAAATTATTTGTTCAGAAAAAAAAAAACAAGATATCATAAAAAAAATAAAATAAAAAGGTTTGACCTTAATTATTCCGTTAATGATTTAATTAGTAGAGGGTTTAATGTCGCGTTGATTGTGTCGGAAATTAGCTTTCTAAAACTTACGTCAACGCACCCTTTTGACAAATGAAAAACATATTAATAGAGAGATTAAGGAGAATAATTTGAGGGAGAAACCATGATAATTTGTAGACTAATAATCTCATAATACGTTCATTAGTGAATTCAGAATGCCTTTGCAATTGGATTTTGTCATCGTATCTACCATTCCAATATTTCAGCAACAACAAATGATAACTCGTGTAAGTAATTAATCTTATAAAAAAAAAAATTAACAGTTAATCATAGTCAAAACTTTATAAACTTTTATTTGAAAAAAACTGAAAAATATTTTGTATCCAATCATCCATATTGTGAATCATAAAAGCATTACAAAACTAATTAATATTCAGTTAAAAATATATATATATATAAATATATGAAAATAATAACTGATAAATAAAATTGTCAGAGTACAATTTTAACATATAATTTATTAAATTCATAATTTTTTTTAAAAAAAAATATTTATATTTAATCTTATTCATAATTTTACAGAATCTCAACAAAAATGCAATAAATTATTGGATTATTTCTTTTTTGGATAGGAAAAATTAAGACAATATGATAAAATTTAAAATATTATGTAAAATTAAATATTTTTTTTTTAGAAATTTTTCAAAGATGAATAGTCAAAACTCTTTCAAGATAATTAGAAATTGTGTTTGAATGAGCCACCAAGACACCATGTCCATTGCCTTAATGCAAGATAATAGAGAGAGTAAAAAGAAAAAAATTAAACCTAACAGCCTTTGAAATAGAGATGTTTGAAAATCATATATTGAATTTTTATAAGTACATTAGAGTTTTATAATTTACTTTTATGCTTAAATTTTTTTGTTTTATTTGAATGTTCCGTTATATTTTTATTTATTAAATATTAAATTGTCAAAATTTAAATAATTTTTAACATAATACACAAATAATAAATGTTTAAGTTGATATGACAAGAAAATATAAGACAATGAGTTAGGTAACTAGTATAACCTTATAAAGGAAAAGTAGATATATACTCAACATTAAATATAGTTGTAACACCCATTAAAATCTTTTTTTTTTAATTAATAAATATAATTTTTTTTATTTAATTTATTTTATTATATTTTATTTTAATAAAAAAAATGGAGTAAATTGATGAAAGATTAAATTAAAAATAATTTTGAAAAAAATAGTTGAAAAATTAGGTTCTGATGGTATTTTTGAAAGAAAAATCAGAAACTGGCAGTTAAAACGCAATTTAGAAAAAATTTGTCATGTTAGACGCCTGATCAGCAGCCCTGACCAATCAGGTGGCGCCAAGTGGCAGAGGCTGACACGGGGAGCCACGCGGGGGGGTCACGTGGACAATCTGCGTGCGCGCGATCGAACGACTGAGATCCGTTCCAGTGCACACGGACGGCCTGGATGCGCTCCCTCCCAAACGTAATCGAACAGTCAAATTAAAATTGATTGAACGGTCCAGAGTGAATTGCGATGGACGACCCAGATTCACTCCCTAGAGACTGCTCGTAGAAGCAGTAAACTGTTTACCTTTTCGACGTCAGATCGAGTAAGAACCCCTCACCCTATTTCCTATCATAAAATTGAAGTTTAAATAAATAATAATACGATATTTTGTACAAATAAAATAGATGTGCATAACTAATTACAAATTGCTAATTGAGCCCGAACCGGATATTGTTCTCTGTTGATTTCTTTTACAGTCTAAAAGCATGATAGTATCTGACTTATCTATTTTATTGTTTAAATGTATGTATTACTATCTTACCTGACTACTGTTTGATTTGGGATTTGAGACATGATCGCATTACTGGATGCATGTTTATTTATTTATGTGATTATATTTGATTTGGTAATGGAGATTAAAGGAAAACAGGATAGGGGTGTGATCAAATAAATAGATGGAATGACAGGCTTACTAGATATCTTTGGAGATGGTGTACGGACCGGATACATAGGGAACTCTACCGTGAATATTGTTTCATACCGGACGAGTATGGAGACTTAATAATTTGACACTCATACTGGACGAGGTATAAGGACATTCCGTTTCACCCTCATACCGGACGAAGTATTTATGTTTAATGTCTTGGCACTCATACCGGACAAGGTATGGAGACGACCCTGTAATTGAAATTGTTAAGGAAAATGGTTCACGTGTAGCAGAGACACCCCTATAAACCCCTATGGATACTGGTAGGCTGGTGAAATGAGAAATAGTTATAATTTAGTTTATTGTGAATGGATATGAAATTATCATTCCATAATATTGTTTACTACTTTTAAATTATTATATAAGGGATGTAAATCTTAACATTTTATTTTACTTTTGTATTTAAATTATTATATATTTTCTTTTGAATTTACGGGGTTGTTACAAGAATTCTGTGCATAAGTTCGTGCGAATTTATAAAATAAAAATTAGAAAAAAAAATTTATGTAATAAACAAAGTTTATTTCTCTCCTCCTCCATTTTCAAGAAAACCCTAAAAATCCTTATTCTTCGCTTATCAATACTAGTGCATTTCTTTATAATTCTTAATCAATAAACTAATATATACAATTCATCTATCTTCTACTTTTTTCTTTACACTTATATTTTTATTTTTAAACTTAAGGTTGTACATTTTTCTTTAATTTCATCTAAACATATTTACTATTCAACTGAACCACATAACTTTAAATATATATATAAATTTAGTTTAATTAAAAAAATTATGCAAATACATAATAACATTGATTTAGAGATGGCCTTATATGAAATCAAAATAATGCATGCTGGGTTTTATCAAAGATTTTGATAAAATCTAGGATATGTTATTTCAATACCATATAAAATTATATATGGGTTGACATTTCATTATTTATAAAATATTTTTACCATCTTCTAGTTAAAATATGTACAAATTTGAAAATAATTTCCAAATTAATGTTAAGGTTATTTAAATGAATAAAATAAAATATAATATGGCAGATATGATAACGTCTTGTTATTATTATTATTATTTATTTATTTAAGTAAATATTACACTGTAATAAATGCTTATATCATATAATTTCAATTATATTATAAATGTATCCTCGCCTGGGCCTTGTAATCCCAGTATCAATGGGTTATTTGGGTTAGGTCCAAGTGTCACCATAAGCCCATACCCGTTCTGTGCGTTCAAACGGCCCATTAACCATTAATTACTTGAAATTAAGAGAATGTGGATTGAATTGGACAAAACTAAACTCCACATAAATGTGGATTAAACATCATACTATTTTAATTTTTATATGTATTTTTTAGTTTTGATCCAACTTGAATTGGAATAGATAGATTTAGAAAAAATTATACAAAATTTAAATAAGATTAAAATAAAAATTAATTTTTAATTTTTAACTTTTGTGTGTGCGTGCGTGTGTGTGTATATATACATATATATATATATATGTGGAGTGGAAGGGTGTACATAATTGATTAGCTAGAAGCAAAAAAAGCAGAAAAAGCAAAAAAAAAAAAAAACATAACTTAAAATTTGCTCCAACAGCTTTGAAGTACAGGTGGGTCTGTTCTCAATTTCATTGTTCCATAGACATGGTATTTTCCTGTCTGTTGGTAAAATAAACTGATTTCCTTGTGTTCTACTATTGATCAAGATATGGGGAATTAGATTAAATTCACATGGACATTGTTGCCGTAACAAGCAATGAAATCAAGTAACATGGACCAAATGATCAAAATTTACCATGTCGACAGACAGTACTTTACAGAGATACAATGCACGAGCATTATCATCACACAACTAAAAAGCAATATAACTTGCAGTAATTTTAACCTCTTAAAAATAGTCGTCTTCATCATGGCAAGTACAAAAAGCTCCACTTAAAATACTCTTTAAATTCAAACTAACTTTTTGACCCAATAATATGCTTTAAAGTGTAATATATTTTACACGTATTTGTTTTCAAATTCAAATAGTTATTATATTATTAAAATTATATAAATATTAATAAACATAAGATGATTTGTGCATAAAGAGTAAATCATTTTAATAAATTATTTTATATATTTTTACTACCAAAATAATTTATCTTTCTCATGCCACCCAATGTTATATATTTTTTATTAAAAAAAGAAGAAAAAAAAGTCCTCTTCCATCAATTAAGGCAATAATTCGATCTAATGTGGGTCCACCAGATCAAAAGCAGAGGAGTGAAGGACAAGCTAATTATGGGTATAATACTTCGTGATTTGTATGTTTAATAGATTTAACAATAAACAGGCACAAATCACGGGAGTTTATTTATTCTGCAACTTTCTTTGGATTAAGTTATTTGTAAGGTAATGATGGGTATACATAGTAATGCTAATTAAGTTATTAGAATCCTAATTAATTTGGATTTTGTGAAGTTTATGATAATAAACATGTAAAGACGATGATTAGATAGAAAGTGATAAAGATTTCCATGAAATCTAATCTTTAAAAATATTTTCTTGTATCCCCTCAATCTTTTTGTGTCTGACCCGCTGGGTTTCATCCAAAGCTCCTCCACCCTCCAATTTTTACCTTTTCTTTTTTCTCCCCCAGCAAGCCCGGCGTGACTCTTACTCACTAGTCAACCTTACTACAACCTAGTAGTGTTTATAAACTCCCTCCCGTGACCTCCCACTGAACCATTCCCACTTCTCGCATTTGCTATCATCTTCTTTCAGTGGCTAAAATGTGGTGCTCTATCTTCTCTTTTCTCTTATCTGGTTTCCTCTTCACCTCTCCCTTTGTCCGTTGCCGAACTTTGCCACACAGCTCAAAAGTTTCAGTTCTTGATGTCGCAGCTTCTATCCAGAAAACCAAGGATGTTTTCTCTTTTAACCCCCAAATGAAACCTTTTAGCTTCGACCCTCAAGAACAGAGCCTCTCCTCACCATCTTCGTCATCTCCGCTTACTTTGCAGTTACATTCCAGAACTACCATTCAACAAACTCAGCATAAAGACTACAAGTCGCTGACATTGGCTAGACTCGAGCGCGACTCAGCCCGAGTTAAATCCCTCACGGCTCGCTTAGATCTGGCTGTCAACGGTGTCTCAAAGTCGAATCTTGAACCTCTTGATAGTGGGTTCGAGTTCCAGGCAGAGGATTTGCAGGGACCCATTGTGTCCGGGTCTAGTCAGGGAAGCGGTGAGTACTTCTCCCGAGTTGGAATCGGTAAACCACCCAAGTCCGTGTATATGGTGCTCGATACAGGCAGTGATATCAACTGGGTGCAATGCGAACCCTGCGCCGACTGCTACCAGCAAGCCGACCCAATCTTCGAGCCGTCTGCATCGGCCTCTTACTCTCCTCTCTCATGCGAAACCGAACAATGCAAGGCACTCGACATGTACGAGTGTCGCAATGAGACATGTCTCTACGAGGTGTCCTATGGCGATGGTTCATACACAGTCGGGGACTTCGTCACCGAGACAATCACACTCGGCTCGGCTTCGATCAATAATATAGCCCTTGGCTGCGGTCACAACAACGAGGGCTTGTTTATTGGCGCGGCTGGCCTGCTCGGCCTTGGTGGTGGCTCGTTGTCGTTTCCTTCCCAGCTCAACAGCACTAGTTTCTCTTACTGCCTCGTGGACCGTGATTCTGACTCCGCCTCGACCATTGAGTTCAACTCACCTATATCTCCCGACGCCGTTACCGCTCCGTTACTACGCAACCACGAGCTGGACACTTTTTACTACCTCGGTCTAACCGGGATCAGTGTGGGCGGCCGGTTACTCCCGATTCCGCAGTCATCCTTCGAAATGGACGAGTCAGGAAACGGCGGAATCATCGTGGACTCTGGCACCGCCGTAACTCGGCTACAAACTGAAACTTACAACTCGCTTCGTGACGCCTTCGCCAGGGGAACGCATGATTTGCCGTCAGCAAGCAGCGTGGCTTTGTTTGACACATGCTTTGATTTATCGTCGAGGAGTAGCGTAGAGGTTCCAACGGTTTCATTTCACTTTCCGGATGGGAAAGCTTTACCGTTACCGGCGAAGAATTTCCTGATTCCGGTTGACTCCGATGGTACGTTTTGCTTCGCCTTCGCGCCCACATCGTCATCGTTATCAATCATCGGAAACGTGCAGCAGCAGGGGACACGTGTCGGTTTCGATATCAGTAACTCTCTCGTTGGGTTCTCGCCCAATAAATGCTAGGAGTTTATTTTAACAGCAACGGAAACAGACAGGTTATGTTTTGACTTATTTATCTGCGTAGCCGTTTAGGTTATTATATTAGCGGTTTTACCACGCGGTAAAAAAAGAAAAGAAGATTTTGTTTGTTATGGTCGTTTAAACCCGTTTGGGGTAAGTGAAAGGGTGTGGGTCCCCGTCCAGTAGAAGTAAGTGGCATGTGGTGGGACCACTCGGCAAGCGATCGTTGATGCGATGTAATGGCATGTATAGTAAATTTGTGGAACGTATGGGGTTAATATTTAGCGGAGCACGGGGATTAATATGACCGTTGCGCTGTAGATGCTGTTATTGAAAATTTGAAAGAAGAATCTTGTGGTTTGGCCAAATTGGCAGTAGACTGATTGTGTTGGTAACTGCATGGCGAACTTAACGCCTAAGTTTGTGTTAATTAATTAATTAATTAATTAATTTAATTTTTTTAAAAAGTAATTTATCAATAAAATTTGGTCAAATTAGTTTGGTGTTAGCGTTTAACTATCTCGATAATTGTTAATTACTTTAGTTTGACAGGAATCAACTTTATTCGTGCGGGTGCAATATTTTAATTAAAGAAACTTTTTACTGGCAAAAAACAGTTCACATGCGCTTTTTTTCTCTCCTCTTTTTTCACTACGTGGGCTTTGATGATGCAGAATTTTGTATGAAACTGATTTTCTGGGAAGAAGTATGTATTATACGTCAAAAGCATGCTTCCATGGAGGTATCACCGACGAATTTATGGCAATATATTGAATGGACTATCTTTTGCCATTGCCATTTGTCTGACGTTAACATGATTTCTATTTTCCCATGTGTGTATCTTCTTTGCCTTGGTTTTGACTTGCGAGATTGGGCTTCTCTAGCATTTTCCAATTTCAATGGTCAGAAAAAATTGTTGCTCATAAAAAGTGTCTTCAACAACTTTAAGGATAAGTAAAATATTGTTAGTAAAAATGTTACAATCCCAACAAAAGACTCGACTATTTAGAAAGGGATTCACACTATGAAATTCATTTCTATTCTTCGCAAGAAAATGACGAATAAACTAAGCCCAGCCCGTTAGCTTAGCTATGAAGGACTAGTGGACCCGAGTTCGACACTTGTTTTGAAAGCATTTACGGGGCCACATTCAGGAAATGGTCTCTCGCCCGAAACTTTTTCTTTGTGGGAATACCAGTCAAAATCATCCTTATAAGTTTTTTTTTTTTGGTTTAAACAGATGAAATGAAAATTCTGAATGTGGGTCGGCCTAATTTGCACGATAGCAATAAGATATGTTTGTAATTAAACAGCCATTACAAAAAGTGCGGACAAAGAGAATCCATCCAGTATCTTGTTGAGCCCAAAAAAGTACCCAAGCATGGTTCATGAATAGCAGCCCCTCTGTTTCACATTCGCATTGATGCTCTGATATGGCCACCCATATATACTTTACAATTAATTGCCTTTACCAATTATTATACTCTTCCTTTCTTTATATATATATATTTTTTTATCAAAAAAGCAGCAGCAAACGCACCTTTGCATCATTGCGTATTTTACATGCACGCCCAAAACCAGCTGGAACAACTAGTTAAAGGCAACCATCCTTTTGTACAGGTAAGAATGGAACTCGTGTTCATTTTAATTGCGCCAGAGCTCCAATCCTCTACTCTACAATTCATTTGAGATTCCTACAGTCACTTACGTGTCATAACCGCCATTTGTCTACTATCTTTTTGTCTCTGCTCCTTCCTTTAATCCGTCCCTTTCACCGGACAGACAGTTATGGAAGTAGACAAGTAGGAAGATTTGTGGATAAAGGTATCATTCAGAATCTCAAACAAAACAAAAACTTGCTTCTTGCAAAATTATGTAAACAGAATCCCCCCGGCCTATAATTTCGTTTACCATTTTTTTTTTTATAATATATTTTAAAGCAATTATACAAATCATCCAAAATTAAAATTAAAATTAAAATTGATTTACGGATTTATATTACTCTTTCGTTTTATTTATACAGGCAAGCAAGGTGAAGAAGAAGAAGAAGAAGAACAATGATTTCTCCCTCACTAAGCTTTTCCCACTTTTTCTTTTTGCGTCCAAAATTATGTAAAAAGAAACTGAAGAGTTTTTCTGGGTGAAAAATGTAATTAAAGCGAAAATAAAAGGAAATTTAAGTCCGCCAGGGACAACAGAAAGCAAAACGGGACGCCGCTCCGTTTACGGTTACTGGGAAACGGCCCGTGCCACTATCAAACCCCACCAATAAAAAACTCACGTCTCTCTCTAGTCTGGTCTATGTGCCAACCGATGCGTCTTTCTGTTGTTGCTCATCGTGCCGTTGGGTTGATTTCTCTACTTCCAGTTTCCCCTCCATTGGACAATGGAAGGGAATAAACCCTAACTCCCTAAGCCTACTTTGAACCTTAGTTGACCTTTTTCTCTCTGTTACCCCTGCTCTTCACGTTTTCGTCACTTTCTTTCTCTCTCCTTTTACCTTCATATTAAATCTATTCTTACTACTCTCTGTCTCTCTCCCTCTCTCTCTCTCTGACATTTCATCATAAACAATGCTCTGATCAGGACTGATGATCTCAACCATGAGCGACTCTCATAGCATCTCCTCCTCTGATTCCGCTTCCGTCTCTGCTGTCGATCAGGTAATCCTCTCTCCCATCTTTCTCTTATGTTCTGTCTACTTCACTAAGTTTGCGTTGATGAAGTGAACATTTTCTCCTGAATTGCAGAAATTGATGGCAAGTTCTTTTCGGTTCAAATATTTTAATTATTAAAAAAAACTGTAACGGATTATTTGTTTTCTGTGTTTAGTAACTTAAGTTCGCCAGTTTTCTTTCCTTTTTTTCTTTAAAAAAAAAAAAAACGATACGAGTCCGGTTTTGGTTACCTTGATCATGCATTGGCTAAATCATTTTGTCAAAGCAACTAATAAATTCAAAGCTTCAAGCCTTTATCCGTAAAGTTTTACGGCTGTCAATCACTTCGATTTTGGTCATCTCGTTTATGGTATATTTCATGGTTTCAGTTTTTTTTTTTGGAGAAATTCATGGTTTCACTTTTTCCGACGAGTTCGTGTCTCGTTCTGATTTTACGATTACAATGATTTTGATTGGCTTCGTTGTCTTTCGAACTTCAACGTCTCTATTTCCATTTTGTATTCAGTTTATAAATCACTAATTGTATCACATATTTACATTTATGTATTCTCACTTTCACTCTAAAGTTCCCGCACCCATCGTCATATATGATATATATAGACATACTTTAGGTTACGTATTCATTTAAATGTCTATATATTAAGAAAGTTCTCAAGTTTATTTCCGTTTTCGTAATGTTGGCTTTTTGCGAGTTCAGAATGTTGTGAGGAATCAAAGAAGTGGTGACGGTAATCAAACACTTGCTACTGAGTCACGTCACTGGCGTGATGTCTTCTGGTTGGGGATCTTTATACTTCACTTGATTGGTTTAGGATTTGTACTCGCAGTTCTTGGACTCAATAGGTTTAAAAAATCAGATAGGTTAAATATTGATAGATACACCAACAGAATTTTGGAGAATCATCGTGGTTTAACCGAGAATTATTGGCCTCTTTATGCTGCCGCTGGTGGAGTTGGGACTGCTCTTGGGTGGACTTGGTTGGTGTTACTTGGTTCTCGTGCAAAGGAAATGATAAAAGTCTCCGTGCACATTTTGACCACTTATCTTGCCGTGGTTAGTGTCCTATGTTTCTGGTGCGAGCAGTTTTTCTGGGGTGTTGCTTTTGCAACTGGTGCTGCATTACAGTTCTTGTACATTGTATCGGTTATAGACAGGTATGTGATGACTTGTGTTCAGTATGAATATGACTTGAAGATGCGTGGCAATAGTGAAATCTGTCATATGGTTGTTGTGCTATTTCATTGTTTTTGGATAAGTTTGCTGTGACATTTGTATCTGCCCACCGAGATGTAAGGCTATTTCATTGTTTTTGTACTATTTCATTGTTGTTGGATAAATATGCTTTGACATGTGTATGTGCTCCCAAATATGTAAGGCAATTATGTTGCTGCCGAGGTTCATACAAGATATGGTAAAGCATAGCTCCAAGATATGTAATTTTTCCATTTGATTTGTGTATGCTGTGCAGCAATGATGAGGATCCGTCCTAAGCAATTTCTATTCTAATTTTAAAATTTATTAATTATTTGAGGCTATGGTTTAAAACTTTTAATCTTTTCTGAGATTCAAAAACTAGAAAACAAGTAGTTCAGACTGTCATTTCTCTTTTTGTCTTTGCTTTCTTTTAATTGCTGGCCATTTTTTTCTCCTATCAAGTTTTGGAGGAGAGAAAACGTACATCCTGGAGACTCTCTGTCTGTTTAGCTGCATTCTGAGATTTGTTTGACTAAGCATAGAGAATTTTTTGCTTCTTTTAGGACCTGAAAGAACTTATAATTTCCAAAAATTGTGTTGATTTAATTTTTCTGGGAAAACTTTACTCTTCATCTAATCTGAAATCAATTTGAATTTGAAAGTGATGGAAATGGTAAATAATTTGGTTATTTGTGGCAAGGGCCAAAATCTAGCTACTGAATGTCAAGTAGGAACAAGGACAAAAATGTTTAGGTCGGTCGGAAAGAGAAAGGAAAAATGCATACGTGATGTAGAATGAAAACATGATGTTATGAGGCAGTTAATGGTAGAAGATGCTCTCTCAATTGGTGGCAATTTCACATTTTTGTACAAAATTTGAAAAGTTGATAGTTAGAAATGCAGCATGGTTTTAATGATAGCATCTGCAACATGAGTGATTGAATGGCTGGAAGGCTGAAACCATCAACA